AAAGGCTGTGGGAGCGTGTGGAACGTTGAGGAAAGTGGGACACAAAAACTCTTTTATATATAAGGAGAGATATCGTCACAATAATGCACAGAAATCAATGTATTCCAATTTGTTGTTTCTTCTGTCTCTGTGCAAGGCTGATTCACCGGGATGACTGTCTAGATAGGAGCCTTTATCCCTTGTTAATTAAGAAACATTGGCTGTGGACCAAGAAGTGCTTTGTATGTAAAACGTACACAGCCAGGTGAGTGATCTTGATGTGCTGGTTTTGATCTCTCTGTAGCTAAACAACCAAATAATAGAGCCGCTCTGTGGCAGATTATGGCTGTGGGTTAAACCATTGCCTCCAGTATAAGAAAAATGCGCAACTGTATCTTAATTGTTTGGGTTGGTTACTACGAGTGGTAGTGCTGATCTTTTTATAGGTGGCAAGAAGTGATGCTCCTCTCCCACATCAGCTCAGTGGGCTAAGGCTGACTGTGAAGGCGCTTTCCTCCCATGATGCCTTGTTTATAGGAAATGCTTTCCTTCGATAAAAGAGCAAGATCTGTGTGTTCTCTGCTACTCCCTATTACTAGTAAGTTTCATAGGCTTAGTTTTCACTGCGCATGGGAGCTCACATGGCAATTGGCTGCTTTTCTGGGTTTTTAAAAAAATCCTCATACAGAAAACTATCACATCAGGAATATGGATCCTTGCTTAATTTTATCCCTGATATACTGATTTTCTAGGTCTGTAGGGGTTTTTGTCTGTGTGGAGGAGTGTTCAGTCATGTGACTCCTCACCTGCAGTAAACTCAGGCACAGGTCTGGCACCTCATTGAGAACTAGGCTGCAGACAACTGAGTTATGAGTGAAATGTCAGTATCAAGTAACTACAAGGTTTTTTTTAATTCCTTGCTCTTTGGGAAGAACAAGTCTTTTGGAATGGAAACAGGCCTTATTTTGGTGTGGGGTGAGGTCAATAGGTAGAGAAGCTACTTGTGAGGATTTTGCGATCGTTTGGTAGGTACCATTTGGGAGTCGTTGGCTTAAAGGACTGCCAAACGAAGGTTAAACAGTGCTGAGCTTTGTAGTTTTAAAGCTCTGATAAATATGTACACAAATCAGGCTTGCGAGTTTTATTCAGTTGCCTAGGGCAAGTTACACTTTTAATCTTTTTTTCCCTCCTCATTTTGAAGTTTCTAAAGTGACATATTACCACAAAAGACACACAGAGTTGTATTTAAAATATTACTCCCTCCAATGTTCTTAAGTAGGAAGGGGATTATTTTCCCTTCAGATGCTGACAAAGTACAAAATGTGTAGCACTGTAGCTCAGAATACACTTTTCAGCAGTTCAGAATGGCAAGACAAGCTTCCCAGCTGCTGTATTACTTTTTGGCTTGGATGGTAAATGCAAGCCAGATAATAATTCTCTCCCTCCCTCACCTTTCCCCCCCTCTGTCCCACCCCAACATCTGCCCTCGTGATAAGGACTGCTGTCGGGGGTGGGGAATATCAGTTGTTCTGGGCACTAAATTCCCATAATGTACCTAGGTACTAATGTTACTCTCCAGCTCAGCCACTGTGGGATGGGGGGGAGGGCAAGGAGGAAAAAAGGTGGACAGACCATTATCAGAGGGATGCAGCAAGAATTCCCCCCCACCCCCATCAGGAAGACAGCAGGGTTGAATTCTAGTGGAAGTGGAGAAGGGGAATTCTGAGAAAGCAGCTAGAATCTCATGGAATTCCTGGGTGACATAATTGGGGGCTAGTGGGAAGAAAACGTGTGGGTTCATAATTCCTGTAGGTGTATCTGCAAGGCTGCTTTGGTTGTTCCATTATCCGCAAATTACTGGATTAGAATTAGTTAAGATCTGCAATTTTTAAAAAAGATTTGCCATGGGGTTCCAAATGGGAAGAATAAACCAAATAAGCAGAAAAGTGAGTGAGCAATAATTGAACATGCACAATGATTAGTCTTTAAGGTACGGCAAAATGGACACTGTGAACTGGAAAGATGCATCTTCCTGTTCCTCTATGCGTAGACCACCGCTGTTGGCATACAGCAAACTTGTCTCCTAAGTGCTGATTCCAGTCACTCACACTTGTGCTGCAGGGAGTGGGAAGCACATTAACTGTCCTCTCTAATAACTGTTTTTCTCCTCATCTGGGTTTGGAATACTGCTTTTTGCCAATAAGTGCAAATAGTTTGCAACAAGAAAATAAACTGTCTCAAAGGGTATGATTAGCTTCTCCAGGATTTATAGCTTTCATGATCCAGGTGTCTTCTAAATAAAACATGGACCTTTTTTATCAGTGAGTTACTCTGTTTGATGCATTGGGTCCTTATGGTAATTCATTGGTGTCATCCATGGCGGCTGTACTCTGCATTAGGCTGCTGTCCAAAATTGAGAGGTGATTACTGAAGAGATGTTGTTTAACTGTATTAAACTGAGCTGGATTAGGAGCTAGGATTAAAAGAAGAGATGCCAAGCCTTGGCTGACCATAGCACCTTTGAATGGGATACTTTGCTTCTCTAATCTGACCTATGCAGTGCCTTCTGGTTTCTTGTTTCTGACTACTGACCACCATCAGGGCCCTGCGAGATTTAATGCGATTCCACAGGGCCTTTAAGGCAGAGATGTTCCCACCAGGCTTTTGGTTGAGGGCAGCGACGGTGTGATCATCTCTGACACCCTCCCCCGTTTCATCTGTTTCCCTCCTCCTGCCCTGCTCATGGGGCAGTGGCGCAGTCCAGTATTGGGAATAAGATTTATTAGGGCACCATCTTGGATTTTAGTTTTTTTTAATTACATATGTAACTGTATATTTGGGTGGTCATATGATTTTATCTATTGCTTTATCATTGATGTATATCTCCCAGACCCCTGTTTTTACAGGGATGGGGTGATTCATAAATTGAAGAATTATCATTATCATCATCATCATCTTTCCTATCAGGGAGATTATTGCACTGATACATGTATCTCATAACCAGTGTCTGCATACCCCTGAGTAAATGCAAAACGTAGATGCTCTGGAAAGGAGCAAGAAGTAATGTCCAGTGGAACCATTTGTCCAGTGTTGATGGTAGATGGGGGGATGGATCTGAGAATCTGTAGTTTGATGGCTGTCACTGGGAGTTGGATTTGATTGCAGAACAATCTGGCAGCCTCGTGTGCTGTATGATTTTATTTATAAATAGGATTGTTGGCCGATTCAGGAGTCTTTCCTCTCCCATTTAACTGGATAAAAGTCATAGTGGAATAGCAGCTTTAGGTTGTTAGAACAGCCATCTTTAGTACTTTAGTAGTACCTCAAAAAGATAAGCAAGCATGCTTTTATTCTGCAGCCTGGGCAATTAAAATTCAGATTTACATTTCCCTCTCTCCTACTTGGAAGAATTTCCTAAAGCAGGGAGAAGCAAGTAGTGGACTAAAGACCCAAATCTGTCTTTCTCCTCTCTCATCTATACTCTAGCATAATCCTGGTCCCAAGGATATGTCAAGCCAGAGTCTTATCCCCTGCCCTGGCCCAATTTGTGTGAATAGTAACAGAGATGGTCTTGCCATACGCACTTCAGCTATAAACTTTGAGTGGGCTGGTAAAGGAAGAACTCTCTCAGAATCTCTGGTGTAGCTTGTGCTGGAAAGGAGATGGATGCCATTTTGCTTGGCTGTTAGCTGGTGTGGGCTGAGGTATATGCAGAATCCTTGTTGCTAGCTCTTTTGCCTTCCAAATGTAGTCCCTGTTTTGTTCTGTGTTTTAAAACACCCATCAGTGGCTGAGGAGGGAGCTCAAACTGGATTTGGTTGACCTACTGATTTTAAAACTTGCAGTAATAATTAACATCAGTAGCTTTCTTGAGCAAGCAGGAAAAGTCTTGCTTGGTTAGTACAGTGGCTACAAAAATGAGCTTGTAGAGATATCAGGATCCATGGGAAAAAACACTTGGAGAAATTCAGGAAAAAAACTCCCCCCCCCCCGCCCTCGGCCTATATTTAAATATTTCTGATAGGAACACTTGGGAGAGCACAGAAAAGAGACTTCTATGAGATATTTTCTGTCTTAGAATGAGTAAAGTGCTTCTTTAAGACAAGGTTTCTCATACTCAAAATGTATAACACGAACAAGTCTGAGGACTTTTTTGATCTTTCCAGTGGGAAACTTCGGAGATTTTGATGAGTGCTGAAAAACACACCCTTTTCAAGTGAGAAAAACCTTGTCTCACAAATCAGTTCACTCATTCCAAATGTGCAACAAGAAAAAGTTGGGGAATTTGGGGACCATTGGGAAAAAAAGCCTGCTTATATTGTACACATATACAAGATTTTCAAGATTTTTTGTTTAAGTGTTACAATTGTAGCAACAGTTAATAATCTATAGTATATTTAATGAACAAACATATTATTAAAGGGTTCAGTGTTTCGTAAAGGTAATAGCAAAACATGCTGGCAGTCCTACCTATTGTGATAGTATATTTCCTGTCCAAAATAGATTTTTTTTTCACTTCAAAATTGTTTTCTACTTGCAGCATGCATATTTTCTTAACTCTTGGAAGGCAAAAATTAAAGACATATGTGCTGTGGTAGTATAGAATGAAGCAATTCACAACTCCTTATTGGTTATACTTGCCATTTTTCATATAGAAAATGAAGATATTTATACTTTTTAATTCCATAAATATTAAATAAATATCCCAAACAGTACAATGTTAAATGCTGTTCAATCAGTAAAAGAAGGTTAGGTTTGATAGAAAAATGTTACATATATTTCAGTCCGCCCCGCCCCCCCCATTTATTCCAAGAAAAACTTTTCCTCCCTGGCCTCAACAGTTACAAACATTTTACATCTCTAATGAGCTGTGATTTGGGAGGTTGCCAGTGTAAACAGTCTGGTCTCTCTCCCCACCTCAGTCCTCCATTTGTGATACTGGGATAATAATGCTGGACTTCCTAAAATCAACATTACCATAATACTGTAACATGCTAAATAAATGCTAAGTTGTATTGGCTAAAGCTTAATTTTCAAACAATGCTTAAAAATATTAGCATGAGTTTTGAGTTCAAGATACTTCTGACATTTCCTTGTTTTAAATAAATTGTAATCTTATCTCCTGTGGTCAGAATGTGTCCTTGCAAGTTCTGGTCTGTGGCTTGGCTATAACATTTTGGTGGTCTGCTGTTTTTTAAGGTGTTTTCCCCTTTTCTCTTGCTTGACCTCCTAATGTTTTTGGTTTTGCTGTTAAGTAGGTGGTTAATCTCATGTGTTAAATGTCACACACATAAAGACCACAATTTACCTTTTAGTCTCCTTGTTGAAAAAGCGAGATTCTAAACCTGATAGAAACGTTGAGAGTGTAGTTAATTACTGGGGAATGGTACTGAGCAAAGCTCAACAGATGGTTTTCAGTCTGTCCAGAAACTAGAAGAAATGAGCACAAGGTCGGCAAATGTCATTCTAACACGAAGCGCTCCTGCTTTCTAATTTACAGATGGGTGACCAATGATGACAGTCTTGCTCCTCAAGACCCTTCTTTCTTCTGTGATGTTTGTTTCCAGATGCTCCACTATGATGCAGACGGCAACAAGTTAGGAGAGTTTCTTGCTTACCCTTATGTTGATCCAGGGATTTTCAACTGAGACTTTGTCAAAGAGCAAGACAACAAAACTGTTTTATAATCTGCTTCAGTAGCTGCTGGAATGTGAAATTCAAGCAACAGCCTTTTTCAGAACATAGTTTCCTCTGTATATTTGATATTTTTAATTTGGCAAGCCATTCAAAGGGTGATGGCCCCCAAAATCCAGACCACATTAACTACAAAAAGCTCATGTAGTTGTGTGCTCGTGTGTGTTCTTTAGTGTGATCATGACCAAAGCATGTGTGCTTAATTTTTCTTGTAATTCTCAGTTGGATTTAAATGAGGAAGTAAATCTAATGACTGATCTGTGTGTTTGCTCATTCACATCTAAGGCATGTGTGTGCTTAAAAATTCCCTTACATGGTGAGTGGGTGTCATAGCTAGCCTGCCTTTAATATAGTCCCCCTTTTTTGCATTATTAACTCCTTTTTGTGTACTACTTGCATAGGATCTGAGGCCATTCTCCCCACCCCCCAGTTACCAGATGATAAATGCAGGGCTCTTTTCTAGCTCTTCCAGAATTACAAAGAGGAGGAGGAAGCAGTGGTCGAAAGTCCTCGTCTAACAAGATGATCTTCTCCTCTTTGCCCACACCCCAAGTGTTGAGTATCATTGTACTGCTGGGTGTGTTTCCTCCTTAGAGAAGACGAATAAGGACAGCATCAGGCTCTTGTGAAGTCTACATTCCAGATGCACTGGCTAGAAACGGGCACTTCTGTAATCCTTCATGTTTTAAGGTGGTGCTGCAAAACTGACTTGAATGTTATAAGACTTTCCGGAGGGGGGCCAAGTCTCTGGGTTCAGTAACTACTGGTAGGTTTTCTCTGTGTGTGAGAGACTAGGCATCTGCAAGTAAAACAGAATGCAGTTGGTATGCCACATTTAATTTTGCCAGTTCTCACATTTTTTCTGCATGTGTGTCTACATCCTTTGTAATTGAATTAATAACAAATTACATGTTAGGCATTTCATTGTTACTTAGTTGTTTTTATTGTACTGAGGGGGTTCGCTTTATTTAAATGGTCCCTTTTTATACTTAATACTTTGGATATATGTATGTATGTATTTATGTATTCAGTGTCTTGACTCAACAGAATTATTCTACAGTAGAGAGCTGTAGTCAAAGATTTGGCTATCAGCAAATGGCTTTCCTGGCCTTAGATTCTGTATAAGGTTTTCTCCAGCCATTGCTTTCAGAAAATTGAAATTGTGGTATTTGTCATCATTCTACAGATGGATTTTCCCCCCTGAGAGCAAGGCAGGATAAGTTATCCAAATAAGATATTGGTAAATGTTCTGTGCCATCATAGCAGCTGAGCTAATAGCTGTCAGGTGAGGGGCATAATTGTTTTGCTTACCCTATAATAATACTTAAAATAGAAATGAGCATCTCCAGAATGCATTGTGGTTGAACTGTCTGACGGAGTAGATAGATATTTATTTATTGTTTTGGTCAGCAACCAGTGTAGTTAAACAACAAACAATTTACTCTGATGAAGTATCAAGCTCTGAGCCTGGTTGAAACTACTCGTATCCCTTCATAAAAGGAAGTGGACTGATCCTGAAAAATTCCTGTTTCTCCCAGTAACTGCATTATTACAGAATCACAAGCATAAGAAGACCAACATGAATTACCTTGTGTGGAAGTTACGATCAACTGGATCAATTTGAAGTGGCTTTCACATAGTGCTCATATTATGCCAACCGGCTCTGGAACTGATTGTGCCCGGGATGTTATGTTAGCTCACTGGTCTGAACTTCACAGCTGCAATTCTTTGCAGGTTTAATAAGCCCTTTCCAATACAGTGGTGAATAAAAACGTTTACAGTTGTGTTTCAAAGACCCTGTCAAAGCCTCTTTCTTTTTAGCTGTCAGGTAAATTTAAGTTGGTACATGGAACCATGGTAACATTTCTCTGCCAGGGGAGGAAGGGGAATGGGTGATTACACCCTCCACTTTGGATTCCCTAGAGCCCAAGTGCAATTGTCCTCTTCTCCATCAACCATATGTATCATTTTGTACAAACAAGTCACAGTTCTTCAGTACAACCACCACAGTGTGTTAAGACCGTATAAATACAGAAAGTGATCGTATGATAAGAAAAATTCTGTCTAAATCACTTTCATGGTTAATGAAGGAAGCTAAGCAGTTGGGTATTCTCACCTCATATATAGGGGCTGGCAGATGGGAATGATGGGGCCTGAACTGTGCTTTTGGGGTTTGCAGCAGTCTATGAAGGATGGGGACGTAAGGAGAGAGCCTTTGAAAGAAGGTGGCTTCAGTTGCCCAGGGAACTGCTGTGCAGACAACTTACTGTGCCAGTGCCATTTAGTCAAAGCATTGTACAAAAACCAGATCGGGGAGGACTCGGAAAACACGGCATTCGTCGTTGTATCAAATCCATCCATTTCCTAAAGGAGAGTTGATTGTGTTGCTATTCTGTGCTAGTCCTGTTGCATCCTGAAGACTGTGACCTTCAGTTCTATATTTTTACACAATGAACAATAAATTATAGGGGGGGGAAACATTACATCCTTAATTCCACGAGTCCCAGGAGCTGCAGCAGGACAGCTGGGTATGTTTTTAGTTCAGAATTCTCTTTTGAATGAGTCCTCTGAGTCAAACCTAGTATTGGACCCAGCTGTCAGTTTCTAATTAAATTCCTCACACCAGCTGGATATTTGTGTTTTGGCTACCTGTTTAACGCTGTCAGCATTTAAGTGGCCACAGCATCAAAGCCTGTACACTATCCTATGAGAATAAATAAGCAAGGACGTGTTTTACTTTTCAGGCCAAATTAATTAAAATGGCAGGGTCACTAGATTTAGTTTCATCTATGCTTCTACTGCCCTGTGGCTGTTCACAAGGCTATGGATACATGCTGTCAGTAAAAAAAAAAGAATTCTGATTCTGCACCCAGTGCTAACTGTGGAATGGATATGAACAGATCAGACCATGGTGCTGGGCTTGTAGCCAGCTCAGTGCCTTCCTTGCTAAAATACCTGGCTGTGCCCTCTCTCAGTGCATGCACAGGCTTGATATGCACCAAATTATTACAAAATGTTAGAGGAATAAAACATGAAAATGTGCATACATTAGAGCTAGCGGGGAGCTTATGGGGACAATTTTATTTTTCAGTTTTCCCGCTCATGCTGTCTGGGTGGGCGGTTCCCTGTCAGCCTGGAGCAGTCTTTCAAGGGTCCGTTTTGGACTGCAGAGGAAGTGAAGAAATCCAACTCCATTGAGAGAAATTTCTTTAGTCACCAGAGATTCCCTTGATTGCTATTTCTTCTGCTAATCAAAGAAAGAAGCAAAGATCAATGAGTCAGAATCTTTTCCAGTTGAAGCTTTATTTAGTCACCCCTAAACCTCCAAGCTTCAATGTGTATTGCTGTGACCTTAAGAGCCTCCTCCTACAGACTCTCGTCCTGTAATTGCTCAGGGTCTAGAGTAAGCTGGGGGCCTGTTAGGCACTGCCCTCATCTTTGCTGTTCTATACATGTAGGAGTGAAACAAGGTGTTTGTGAGTTTACGCTGGCGGAGGGAAGTTAAGTGTAAAACATGGGGGAAGGGAAGCTCCCATAAAGTGGGTCCCTGGCCTGGTAACATTGCTCTCTAGGGAAGCGATTTTTACATTGGCCTGAAGACAGAAGAGGGGTAACTTCCAAGTGAGTGCAGAGGTGTTTTTCTCGATCAAGGATTTTTCACTGGAGGGAGTGCCTGTAGAATGGTGAGAAGGGCAGCAGGCAGAAGAGCAACCATCTTCTGGCCTGGGTCTTCTACTCTGCAGTGTTTATGCAACTTCTGCTGCTATGAAGAAAAGTTGCTTCTCAGAGACCTTACTGGGCTTCCAGATTTTCCTGAAGTTCATAAATTAGAGCCCAGAGACTTCTCCCTTCATGCTGGCTTTAGGACTGCTCTATATTTTATTGTTTTGTACATCTTTAAATTTGCTTAAGCAGTTCAGATTTCAAATGAGGCATCCACAGCACCCATTAACCTAAAGATCATTTCACAGAGTAGCCACGGTAGTCTGCAGCAGACAAACTAGATTTGAGTCTGGTACACCTCGGAGACCAACAAGATTTTCATATTAAGCTCTTGAACATCAAAGTTCTCTGTCAGATATGACAAAGGAAGCTTTGACTCACAAAAACGTATACTATGAAATTCTTGTTTGTCCCTAAACTGCTACTGGACTTGAATCCAGCCCAATTAATCTGGTAAGGCTGAAAGAGCTCTCTCTAACACACCGCACTTGAGGACAAAGCTGCAGTGAAAACAAGATCCATTCACCTCCAAACCTGGTCACTAGTAGGAACCTTGGAACGTGTGCATGTGTGTACAGGGCACACACAGATACAGTCCACCCCTGTATACAAGCCCTTTGTCCTTACTCCTGTTGTCAAGACATAAAAGCATTTTGGATGGCAGGATCATAAATGCTCTGCTAGATGCTGGCAGCTTCTTGAGAGGAATACAATTGTCTTACAATGCAATGGTGCCACCTGCTGTCTCAGCAGCAACACCAATCCATGGCAAAGGAATGGAGCACAGTACAGCCATTTATATGCTGCCTTTCATTCATAAAGCTCTAGATACCATACGCAGTGATCATCCCCATTAAGGCACAAACTTCAACCATTCCCACTTGGCTTTAGCAGGTTTACTGTATTATACCCCAAGTTGAAACTTAATTAAAGATTGTGTACATCAAGGTTTTTGATTCATTTGTAGTATCAAATGTTTGTTTACCCACAGAACCCTCTCAGATTCCTTTTCCTGAAATTGTGATGCATATGCACAGTTCTGCCTTTTAATTCTAAATTCTATTATCAGGGAAGGTTGTCACTGTAGGCAGTGTCTTCTCTACAGGCATGGAAGAGCAATGTGTCGCTAAACCTGATCATTTCAGAGGCTATGAGGCTGCTGCCCAAACCCTGGATAGTCCAGGATAGACAAATACTGGAAGCTAAGCAGGATTGGCCCCATTCAGTATTTGGATGGGAAACCACCAAGGAATACCAATGCAGAAGTAGGCAATAGCAAACCATCTCTGAATGCCTCTTGCCTTTAAAACCCTACAGGGTTGCCATAGCCGGTTGTAACTTGATGGCAAAATTTTTAAAAAAGGGAGAAGCTTCAGAGACATGTTATGCTA